AGGGAAGGAGGAGGGGGAGGTGTGGGGAGGAAGCAAGGATGAGGCATGGGAGGGGGAAGAAGGAAGGGGAGGGGAGGGGAGAGGAGTGGGGAAGAGAAGAAAGAGGAGCGGGAGGAGGAGAGGAATCAGAAAGGATGGGGGAGGAAGGAGGGAGATGGACAGAGATGAAAAGAGGGAAAGAGCATGAAGGAGGGGAGAAGGCAGGGAACAAGGAGGGAGAGGGTGAGAGGAAGAAGGTGGAAGAGTAGAGGTTGTGGGGAGGAGGGGAAAGGAAAGGGAGAAGAAGGGTAGGGCCCGGGACAGGTGCCAGTGGACTCAGGTGTCTCATTCTTCCTGGTCTTCCCGTATCAGGAAATAACAACTCCACCCTTCCAGTTACTCTGGACAAAACCGTGGCTCTTTCTTACCTTTTTCACACGCACGCACGCACGCACACACACACACACACACACACACACACACATCCAGCCAGTCTGTAAATGGCTTGGTCCTGTATCTAAAATATACCCATTATCATCAACCATCACCACCTCAGTCACTCCCACCGTGGTCCAAGTCACTTGGGAGGCTCACAGGATCTGCCCTCGACCTCTCTGAACCCCCATCTCTGCCCCCTCACCACTCCCCCAGGCCATGCTCTGCTCTTCATTAGTCCTCCAAGAGGGAAACTCTACTCCAGCCTCAGGGCCTTTGCATGAGCTTATTTGTTTATTGCCTGTCTCCCCACTAAAAATGTACATAAAAGAAGGGATTTGTATATTTTCTTCACTGCTGTATCCCCAGAATCTAGAACAGTGCCTGGCACATAATAGGTTCTCAGTAAGTAATTACTCAACAAATTAATGAGTGCTAACGCCCCCACCCCCCAACACACACTCTTCTGTTCACTTCCTAGCTGTCCGAATTTGGGCAAATGAATTAACATCTTGCCCCTCCTGTTTTCTCACTTGCAAGGAGTAACATGGCACAGCAGTAGTAAATCACATACCACAGTGATGTGCATGTAGATTGCTTTGGGTAGTATGCACATTGTAACAATATTAATTCCTTGAATCCATGAGCATGGTATATCTTTCCTTTTATTTTTGTCATCTTCAGTTTCTCTTATCAAAGTCTTATCAGGGTACAGGTCTTTCACATTTATGGTTAAATTTATTCCTAGTTTTCTTCTTCTTTTTGATGCAATTGTTTTTAAATTTCTCTTTCTGATAGTTTGTTATTCATGTATAGAAATGCAACAGATTTCTGTATATTATTTTTGTATCCTGCAATATTCCTGTATTCAGTTTTTAGTTCTAAAAGTTTTTTGGTGGCGTCTTTAGGGTTTTCTATGTATAGTATCATGTCATCTGCAAATAGCAATAGTGTAACTTCTTCTGTTTTAATTTGGATGCATTTTGTTTCTTTTTTTAATTTTTTTTTAAAGTTTATTTATTTTATTTATTTATTTTTGGATCTGTTGGGTCTTTGTTGCTGTGCGTGGGCTTTCCCTAGTTGCAGCGAGTGGGGGCTACTCTTCGTTGCAGTGCGCGGGCTTCTTATTGCGGTGGCTTCTCTTGTTGCGGAGCACAGGCTCTCGGCCCGTGGGCTTCAGTAGTTGCAGCACACAGGCTCAGTAGTTGTGGCACACGGGGTGGGCTTAGTCACTCCGCGGCATGTGGGATCTTCCCGGAGCAGGGCTCGAACCCGTGTCCCCTGCATTGGCAGGCGGATTCTTAACCACTGCGCCACCAGGGAAGTCCCTGCATTTTGTTTCTTTTTCATGCCTGATTGCCATGGACAGACTTCCAATACTATGTTGAATATATGTGGGGAGAGTGGGCATATATGTCTTGTTCCTGATCTTAAAGGAAAAGCTTTTAGCCTTCACCATTGAGTATGGTTTAGCTGTGGGTTGGTCATATAGGGCCTATATTGAGTTATGTTCTCTCCATACCCACCTTGTTAAGAGTTTGTATCACAGATGGCTGTTGAATTTTCTCAAATGTTTTTTCTGTATCTGTGGAAATGGTCATATGCTTTTTATCCTTCGTTATGTTAATGCAAATGTATCACGTTGATTGATTTGTGGATACAGAAGCATCCTTGAATCCATGGAATATATCCAACTTGATCATGGTGTATGATCTTTTAATATATTGTTGAATTTGCTTTGCTAATATTTTGTGGAGGATTTTTGCATCTATGATCATCAGGCCTATAATTTTTGGTAATATCTTTGTCTGGTTTTGGTGTAGAATGAGTTTGGAACCATCTCTTACTCCTCAATTTTCTGGAATAGTTTGAGAAGAATAGGCATTAACTCTTCTTCACATAAAAGCTGAACAAACTCATTTTCCTAATTTTTTTTCCTCTTCTCAGTGTAAGATGAGACGTGGGAAAAAACTGCCCCCACAATATGCCCTGGAGCTTCTGACAGTCTATGCTTGGGAGCAAGGAAGCATGGAAACAGGATTCAGCACAGCTCAGGGATTTCAGACTGTTTTGGAATTAGTCCTGAAGCACCAGCACCTCTGCATCTACTGGGAAAAGTATTATGACTTTGAAAACCCTATTATTGGACAATACCTGAGAAGGCAACTTGCAAAACCCAGGTACTCTATCCCCCACATGGCTTAGCTCCCCACATAAATGAACCCATGAATACAGCTGTGGCACCTTGGAAATGTAGGAAGTGAGAGGGATCCATATTTATTGATCATCATCTATTGTCAATCACTGTGCTGGGCACTTTACTCCTACCACCTGGTTTAAATAATAAATTTAAATAATAACCTCCAATCCAGTGAGGCAGGCACTATGCTAACCATTCTACAGATGACTGAGGTTTGGAGAAATAAGAGCTTGTCCAAACCTTAACAGAAAATGAGTGAAATACCTGAAATTTGACTAAAATAACAATAGCTACAGCAACAATAATGACTGCTCCCAGGAAGTAAGAGCTTGCTGTAAGACCAACACACTCGAACAGAATAGTAAAATTTTGGTTATTAAAACTGACACGCATGGACCCCTTATTATGTTCCAGTTGCTGTTCTGAGCACTTCACATGCTTGTCTAGATCCTCATACAGCATGCTTTGAGGTAGGGTTATTCAAATCTCCCCATTTCACTGATGAGGATACTGAGGATTAGAGATTCAGGTGACCTGCCCAAGGTCACACCACTAATAAAGAGCAGAGGTAAGATTCAAACCCAGGTCTATCAAGGCCCGAATGCAAGCCTCCTTCTCCTTGTGTTCAATGCCCACCGTAGGGGAGGGCACTCAGGACACACCCCAGGGAGCAGTGCCCTCCTGGGCCCCTCCTGCTGCCCCGAGTCCCAGTCTGCCCAAGTTAGTATTTTGCTCTGCCAGGAGCTCTAGACCCCCGCAACACAGCCCACATACTCACCTGCCCCTCTCTAACTGTTGCTTTTCAGACCTGTGATCCTGGACCCAGCTGACCCTACTGGAAATGTGGCTGGTAAAGACCCATATAGCTGGCAGCTGCTGGCACAAGAGGTTAGAGTCTGGCTGGGATACTCATGCTGTAAGAATTGGGATGGGTCTCCAGTCAGCACCTGGAAGGTGCCGGTGTGACCTCCTGATTCCCTCATGTGACCTGATATTAATGGCAGGTTGAAGTAACAACTTCTAGAAATACTGCATTAAATCAAATTGAATTTCATCTCTGTCTTTGTACTCTTTTACTGTGGTTACTAGAAAATGTAAAATTACACATGTGTTCTGCCCCAGAATGAATCACCGGATTAGACAATAGGCTTACCAACTCACATTGTCACCCTGTCTTGGTACCAAAAGCAACATTGCATTTACAAAAGTCCAGTCAATAAAAACTCCCTTAAGGAAGCACAAAAGATCAAGCATGTTCTTACCACCTGAGTCGCTGGTCACGTGTGTAGCTGGGAAACAGTCTTTGGCTTCTCCATATTACTGTTCCTCCTTTGAGTCCTCCAGCATCCCTGTGAGATGGGTCTTATTCTTGTTCTCATAATAATACACTGAGATTTGGGCACTTGCTTGAGTCACCAAACATTCCAGCAGCATTTGTTGAAGGGACCATCCTTTCCCCACTGTTCTGTAAAAGCCACCTCTAACATATGTCCAGAGCCCGTCTGTGTGTGAGTCTGTGTAGTTCCATTGGTCAGCTTTGGCATCCTTGAGTTAATACTACCTTGACTAATTACTCTAGCCTGGTGTTAATTCTTAATATCTTGTAGGAAACTCTGTTTTTATCCAAACCAATGTCTTCTCTTGGCTCTATTTCTATGTTAATATTATATTCTGTTTGTGAAATTTCACCCAAAGTACGGGGAGGCATTTGATTAGAATTCCATAAATTAGTTCAGGGAAGATGACATCTATTGAGAATCCCAATCCACAAACTTGGAGCTTCTTTCCATTAATTTTCCTCTTCTTGAATTACTCTGTAACTATGTTTTATAGTTTTTCCCTGCATTGGTCTTAAGTGTGTTTTGTCATATTATTCCTAGATACTTGTTTTTATGTTATTGTACTTAGTAGGTTTTCTTTCATTTCATTTTGTGATGGTTGGTTTCATGAAGACCTAAATGTTTTCAGTGGGTATATTTGATTAAAGCATGGTGAGCGAGTGAGCTTTATACTTTTCTGAATTCTGTGATTTTTGTTTTGCTGTAAATTTGTACTGCTTGAATGACCACAAGAAACAGTAAAGCATTTTGTTTCAAAACCTTTTGTGATAAGTATTTGTCAGCTGAGCTCTGATAGTTTGGGCAAAGCTGGCAGACCCAGGTGACAGAAGGCTCAAGGGTGCTGCAGTTTGGAGCTGCTGGCTCATGAGGTTCAGAAGCAGAGGAGCAAGTGTGTAAGGGGTGACGGAAATGCTCTCATGAAATTTGAAGCACCCGAGTCATAAATTCCTGACTGCCCAGAGCTGAGTCCCCATTCTGGGCAACTTCCTGCTGAGGAAATGAAACTGGGAAGGACTAAGGTTGAAGCAACAGATGTGAGGGTGGAGTTCTCTGAGCCGCCCTGGGCACTCAGCATCGTGGTCAGGTGCTCTAGCCCCACCAGGGGGTGCAGTTATTTTTTTCATTATTATTAACTTTTATTGGAGTGTAGTTGCTTTATAGTGTTGTGTGGGGTGCAGTTTGATGTACTACCTGCCTTCCACCCTCCCAGCCACATGGGGTTTCAGCCTTTGTCCTGTATCAGGGCCCCTTTCTCTCTCTGTTCATATTTCCGAGCAGTTTGAGAGCCCGCACAGTTTGAGAGCCTTACCAAAATAAGATGTCCCTAAAAAATGGGGAGGAGATCACATTGGGTGGGCCAAAAAGTACCTTCGGTTTTCAAGTAAAAATAAAAGACCCATTTTTCATTTTTACCAAGAACTTTATTGAACAACGTAATCACCCTTTTGTTCCACTACCTTCTTCCATTTTTCAGGCAACTTCATAATTCCATCTTTCCAAAACTTTTTATCCAGGTGCGAACCCACACCCCCTGCACTGGAAAGCAAAGTCTTAACCACTGGACCGCGAGGGAAGTCCCTGTCCTTTATTTTTGCTCAGCATTTGATACCTTTCAAATCCCCTTTTGTGTCTCTTCTTTCAGATTATCCTCAGAAGCAGTTCTGTGAGTGAGAAAAGTTTGCCCTCTCTACAGATTGGGACATTGAGGCATGCCCAGTTACACTCGTGTTCAAAGCTGCACAGCTAGGGACAGCTCGCAATTTTTCTATCGACTTAAAAATGCCTTAAGAAATAGTCTACTAATCAAAAAGTAAAACCATTATAGTCATGCCATTAAAAAAGAGAGAGAGAAAGAAATTATGTTTGTGTGTATGTGTGTGTTAACCTAGAAAAACATCTGAAAAGATCTGCACCAAAGTAGTTGTAGTCTTTCAGGTTTAGGATCAGGGATGGACTTTATGCTTTTGGATTTCTCTGACCATTGCTGTTTGCAATATACATGTACTGCTGCAAAAATCACAGGAGACAATAAAACAATTTTGTCAGCAACGAAAAAAGAGGAAAAGGAAACCAAAAGTGTGTTTTTACTCTTGGGTGAAGTACTAACCTGGCTTAAAAATTACCTTTTCAGAGTACAGTCTGAAGAAAGACCAGATGTTCTAGGTTGCCTGTTAAAGGCAGGGAGTAATTCTGGAATACTGGAGGAAAGAGCTGGGAGACTGAACAGGGTTCAGAATCAAAGGAATGTTTAATTTGCTGAGAGAGAAAGACTCAGGGCAAAGCTCCTCCCTTACAAGGAAACGAAACCAACAGCAGCCCAGACTCAGGGCACACCTCCTCCCTTCCAATGAAATGAAACTAACAGCCTCCTGGACCCAGGCAGCAGAAGAGATAGAAGCTAAAAGGTTTTCCCCTCCAGCTCTGCCCTCTCTGGCTCTCCTGTCCCAGCGTCATGATGGAGCTCAGTGATACCCCGGCCAAGTATCTAGACAAGTTCATCGAAGACCACCTCCTGCCAGACGAGGATTTCTACACGCAGGTCAACGAAGCCATCCACACCATCTGCAGCTTCCTGAAGGAGAGGTGTTTCCGGGGGGCCCCCCACCCTGTGCGAGTGTCCAAAGTCGTGAAGGTGAGTCCAGAACTGCCTGGCTGGGGAGAAGGGGGCTGGAAGAGCAAGCGTTTCCACAGCGACAGAGAGAGAGCAAAAGGTTGAGGTCTCTGGGGCTGGTGGTTTCTGATTTAT